ACAGAATTGAAAGAAGAAATGAACAACTCTACAATGATAGTTGGTGATGTAAATACCCCACACTCAATAATGGATAGAACAACCATAGAGAAGTAAGGAGACTGAGGATTTAACACAATAAACCAACTAGATCTAACAAATACAGAACATTCTACCCAACAATAATGTACACATTCTTCTCAAGTGCACATAGGACATTTCCCAGAATAGACCATATGTTAGGCTCCAAATTAAGTCTCAACAGATTTTAAACAACAGATACACAAACACAAAGTATCTTCTCTGACCACAAGAGGATGAAGTCAGAAATCAGTAACAGAAGTAAAACTGGAGAGTTCTCAAATTTGTGGAAATTAAACACAAACAACGGATCAAAGAAGAAAATCACAAGGAAAATTAGAAAATGCTTAGAGACAAATGTAATCAAAACATAACTTATGAAAACTTAGAGAAAACAGCAAAAGTAGTGTCAAGGGGGAAATTTATAGCTATAAACACATTAAAAAACAAGAAAGATCTCAATCAACCTAACTTTACAACTTAAAGACCTACAGAAAGAACAGAATAAATCCAAAGCTAGCAGAAAAAAGGAAATCATAAAGATCAGAGCTGAGGTAAATGAAATAAATAACTAAAATCAGAAATGGAAGTGGGGATGCTACAACTGATTCTACAAAAAACAGGACTCCCCCCCCAAAAAGGGAAGGAAACAGGATGAGTACTATGAGCAACTGCATGCCAACATATTAGATAACCTAGATGAAATGAACAAATTCCTAAAATACAAAAGCTACCAAGACTAAATCACAAAGAAACAGATAATCTGAATACACCTAAAACTAGTAAGACTGAATCAGTAATCAAAAATCTCCCAACAAAGAAAAGCCCAGGACCTGATAGCTTCACTGGTGAATTCTACTAAATATTTAAAGAACACCAATCCTTCTCAAACTTTTCCAAAAAACTGAAAGACAGAAAGCACTTCCTCACTCATCCTATGAGGCCAAAATTAGCCTGATACCAAAGCAAGACAATGACACCTACAAGGAAACTACAGACCAATATCCCTTATGAACACCGATCCAAAAATCCCAAACAAAATACTAGCAAAATTAATTCAATACTGTATTAAAAGGATTAAACACCATGATCAAGTGAGACTTATTCCTGGAATATAAAAAGATGGTTCAACATATGAAAACTGATCACTGTAATACACCGCATTAACAGAATGAAAGGGAAAAAACCTACATGCTCATCTCAATTGATGCAGAAAAAGTAACTGACAAATGTCAACACCCTTTCATAATTAAAAACACTCAACAAATTATGAATAGAAGAAAACTACCTAAACATAATACAAGCCATCTATGACTATCCCACGGCAAACATCCATGCTCAATGGTGAAAAACTTGAAAGCTTTTCTTCTAAGTCCATGTACGAAGCAAGATGTCCACTTTTATTCAACATACTCGAAGTTCTAGCCAGAGCAATTAGGCAAGAAAAAGAAATAAAAGGCATCCAAATCAGAAAGGAATAAGTATATTTATCTCTGTTCACAGATATGCTCTTATATGTAGAAACCTCCAAAGATTCCACCCCAAAAATAAACAAACTGTTAAAATAAGTAAAATTCAGCAAAGTAGGATACAAAGTCAACATGCAAAAATCAGTTCCATTTTTACACAATGAACAATCTGAAAAGGAAATTACAGGAACAATTCCATTTACAATGGCAATAAAAAATACTTAGGAATTAATTACAGAGGTGAAAGACATGTACAATTAAAACTACAAAAACATTGCTCAAAGAAATTTAAGACGAAATAAAAAAATGGAAACACATCTCATGTTCATGACTAGAAGACAATATTGTTGAGATGTCAATACTCTCCAAAGTGATCTACAGATTAAATGTAATCCATATCAAAACTTCCAGTCTTTTTCTTTTTGCAAAACCAGAAAATCCCATCCTAAAATGTATAGGGAATCTCAAGAGACCCTGAATAGCCAAAATTATCTTGAACAAGAACAACAAAGCAGGGAGACTCACACATCTTGATTTTAAAGCTTACTACAAAAATATAGTAGTTGAAACAGTATGGTGATGGCATAAAAACAAATAGTATACACTGCAATCAAACAGAGAACCCAGGAATGAACTCTTGCATATATGGTCAAATGATTTTTGACAAGGGTGTCAAGACCATTCTATGGGGGAAAGGACAGTATTTTTAGCAAATGGTGCTGGGAAAACTGGATATCCATACGCAAAAGCATGAAACTAAACCCATATCTAACACCACATACAAAAAGTAACTCAAAATGGGTTAAAGACTTAAATGTAAGACCTAAACTGTAAAATTCTTAGATGAAAACACAGAGCAGGAGCTTCATGACACTGGATCTGGCAATGATTTCTTGGATAGGATACCAAACTCACAGGCAACAAAAGAAAAAAATAGATGAGTTGGGCTTCCTGAAAAATTTTAAAATTGTGCATCAAAAGACACTATCAACAGAATAAAAAACAAACGAATGAAAGAAAATATTCACAAATCAAACATCTAAGGGTTAATATCCAAAAAAATAGAGAACTCCTAAAACTCAGCAATAATAAACCAAACCAGATTAAAAAATGGGCAAAGGACCTGAACAGACATTTCTCCAAAGATGATACAAAAATGGCCAATAAGTAGATGAAAAGATATTCAACATCACTAATCATCAAAGAATGCAAATCAAAACTACAATGAAATAGCACCTCACTCCCAGTAAAATAGATACTATTTTTTTAAAAAAGAAAAGAGAAAAAAAAACGTTGGCAAGGATGTAAAAGAACTGCAACCCTTATGCACTATTAGTGGGGATATAAAATGGTAGAGCCACCATAAAAAACAGTATGGTGGTTCCTCAAAAAATGAAACACAGAATTACCATATGATCCAGCAATTCCACTTCTGGGTATATACCCAAAAGAACTGAAAGCAGGGCCTTGAAAAAATATTGGTGTGAACATGATATTCACAATAGCTAAAACATGAAAGCATCCCAAGTGTTCCTCAACAGATGAGTAGATAAGCAAATGTATATGCATACAACGGGCTAGTACAGAGCCACAGAAAGGAAGGAAATCCTAACCTATGCCACAACACGGATGAAGACATGCTAAGGGGAGTAAGCCAGTCACAAAAAGACAAATACTGTAGGATTTCACTTACATGAGATACTTAGGAGTAGTAAAAAATCAGAAACAGAAAGTAGGATGGTGGTTGCCAGGGGCTTGGCGGAGGGTCAGGGGGACAGGGGTTAGAATGGGGTGTGGGGGGGTACTGTTTAATGAGTACAGAATGTCCACTTTACAAGATGAAAAGAGTTATGCAGATGGATGGTGATGACAGTTGCACATTATGAATATATTTAATACCACTGAACTAGATACTTATGGATGACTGGGATGGTGAATTCTATGTTACATTTTATAATAAAAATTTTTTTTTCAAAGGGTATGTATCCGAAAGATACCAAAAAGGAAGTGGGGGGCGGGGAGAGGGAGGGAGAAAGAGGGAGAAAAGGGAGAAGGAGAAAGGAGCTAAAGAGTCATCAAAAAATAAAGTACTTCCAATATGCCAAGCAATGAATGAGGCTCTTGCACGGATATAATTTATGAAATGAGTAAGTCACCAAAATCAAACAGCCACTGAGGGTTTCAAGTTAGGTAAACTATTCAAATGGAAGCGGCAAAGGTGATGGAAGATTCCTATCAAAAGACACAGAGGTGGCTCAGTTGGTTAAGTGCCCAACTCTTGATTTTGGCTTAGGTCATGTTCTCAGGGTTGTGGAATTGAGCCCTGAGTCAGGCTCCACACTCAGCAGGGCGTCTGCTTAAGATTCTTCCTCTCCCCTGCCCCCCCCCCCACTTGCACACGCTCTCTGGCGCTCTCTCTAAAATAAATAAATAGATCTTAAAAAAAAAAAAAAAAAGACACAGAAATAAAGATTTCTCAAAAAGAAAGATACAGCCTGGCTGGGGATCTTGAGAATGTGGAAAGACCAGATATGTAAAATAAGCTAGGATAATGGCTGAAGAAAGCCACTCAGGAAACAAAAGAAAAGACTTTTAAAAATGCATCATATGTAAAACCAAAATAATGAACAGAAAAGAAGTCAACTTGGAGATAAAAGTTTCCAAGAAAAATTTTTTTTTAAGATTTTATTTATTTGACAGAGAGAGAGACAGTGAGAGAGAGAACACAAACAAGCGGAGGGAGTGGGAGAGGGAGAAGCAGACCTCCCGCTGAGCAGAGAGCCCGATGCGGGGCTCGATCCCAGCACCCTGGGATCATGACCTGAGCCATAGGCAGATGCTTAACGACTGGACCACCCAGGCGCCCCAAAAGTTTTGCAAGAAATTAAATGAAGAAAGCACTTGGATATTAAATACCTACAGAATGAAAAGGCGCTGCAATCAGAGTAAAAGAGATGGCTACAAGGGTAAAGAGAAAAGGAAGAAAATGAGATGAAAAATACAGAGCACAAATTTCGAGTCCAGAGTAAAACACCGACAAGACTATTTACCATTACTGTACTCTTCAAGTAAACTTTGAACTTTAATCTTAACTTCTTAGAAGATATATAAAATAAGACATGTTGATTTTCACTGGAAGTCTAAATAAATTTAAATTGATAGAATTTCATAACTATGTTCTTATAAAAATGTAAGTATCTTCAAAACATTTAATTCTTGTTTGAGAACTTAAAAGGTTAAAGATCAGAAAGGAAAGTCAATCATAATAAAATAATCATAGAAATTATGACAGAAAAAGTCTCTTTACCTCAATTTCTCTAAAATATACCTTATATATATGTTATTCTACTTAATTTCTTAGAAATAAAAAGGTGTAAACAGATTAGTTACCATTAACAACATACCAAATTGCCTCACTTACTAAATTTTACACAAATGAGAAAGAGAAAATCAAGATAATTAAACCCATACCTGTTCCAATGTGTTGGGAAGGTTTTGTTGGATGCATGGCACCATGACAGACATTTTGCTGAACATTACTCTGTGAGTGGATAAGGCCAGTTTGTGTAAAGAATTGATTAAGAGAAGAACAGAGATCAGCAAATTGAACCTGATCCAAAGACCAGTTCTTGAGATCTGCCTGTCTCATACTCTCCATCAAACCTATGAGGAAAGCATTAGAAATATAGTTAGCATCGTTTGTTCTACAACACGCAAGGAAAATAAGACACAATTTTTTTTTTCAGCCCTCAAAATTTCCACTGGTAGTGATTTACCATGCAATGAAGAATGGTATTTAAAAATTATTCAAAGCCTAATTACTTCTAAATGTGGCCAAACTTCTTTCCGAACTCTTATCTCTGATCCTCTGCTCCATCAATTGACTGAAAGACTTAATCATGAATTTTGCAATGTTGTTTTTAAGTGTACTACTAACTACAAAAGAAACACTATAAAAGGAGATACTTATTTCTACTACAAAGAAAATTTTATCTATGAGAGAAAAAGGGATCATGTATTTTTGGTTGTAGGTCGGAAAGAATCCATACTCACCTTGGAACTGTGAAAGGTCTACATCTGACCAATTAACACTGCTGGCAATTCGACAACTTTCTTTTAGCATATCAAGTGTTGCATACCAATCATTTGAAACACCTACAGAAATAATATCGACAATACTATAAATCTTGGGATAGTGAAAGTTTGAAGTATATGGTAGGGAGAAGACAATGAGCTGGGCTTATTCCTACACTGATAGATCCCCATCCAGTTTTACAAATGGATTCACACCCATCATATCACGTGCTGGGGCAATCGTCTCTGTGAAACAGGCAAGGGGTCTATTTCTCTTCATTTTATAAATAAAAAAGAAACTGAACCCAGAGAGGTGGCATAACTTAGCAAGGTCACTATGATGAATCTAAACCTTGAACCCGGTGCTTCTACGCTCCAATCTGACAGCTTACAAATTGCCCTATCACCTAATAATGTCAAACTTGATTACCGCTTTTTACATTTGTATAGTACAAATGAATGACCAGGCAGGGCAAGTCAGGCAAATCAATACATCCTCCCTCCCCACTATATGAAGTTCATTTTCCTGTCTTGTTATGACATTAAGAGATATGTTCTTTATAATTCAGAGGCAGGTTCACATTTAGAAGTAACACACAGTATAATTTAAAGTACTGACTTAAGGAGGTAAATTACATTGTATAGCAAGAGGACAAATTTCTTACAAGGCAACCTTAGGAAGAGAGAAATGTCTTAGCACAGTCCTGGCAAAGTAGCAAAAGAAAGGGCTAAGACATCTCTAAGAAATGCTGATGAATCCAAACCAGGGCATTTCTAGTCAGGAATAGTATCCTCTCATGTGGTATCATCAGGAGGGTTAAGACTCCATAGTCTGTGTGTCAGCAAAGTGGTCACCACTCAGGGGCATGGGTCTTGAGCTGCACTCAAAGAGAGAGTGCTGAGTAGAGGAAGAAAATCCTCCATTCAGTGACTGCTACACAAATTATTCTTATCAGAATCACCCCTGGATGAAGGTAAGAACTAATAAAAAGGACTTTTTGCTACATTACAGATAACTCTGTATCAACTACTGGTTACTTGATTTACAAAAATCTGCCAATTATGGATTTTTTTCAAATAAACAACGAACCAAAGACAACATGACTCTGCCCCTAGGCAACTCATAATTTAGGGAGAAATTTGTTGGGGAAAAATAAGTAATGCTCCAGTGAGCCACATTCAAGTCTATGAAACTTTCAAGTCCATTACCTATAATAAATGTTGACTTGGCAATACAAAGCAGTCTCTGCAAGACCCACTCAGTAAATGTTTACTCATTTTAGTCCTTTTGGAATTACTGGTGTTATGCGCTCTGAAGTCCTGACAGGCCAGGATATAAATTCCAATTCTACCACTTATTAGCTCTGATCTTGAGCAAACTGCCTAACTTCTTTGAGTTACACTTTTCCTATCTATTAAATGGGGCAATTTATAGTTGATTTGGGAGAGTAATAGGAGATAATATATCTAAATTGCCTATCACATAATGGGAACTCAAAAAACTGTTTCTTCCATTCCTTCCCTATTAAAGACAACCTGCTTAGTCTCATCTTATAAATGAGAAATTTATAACTCAAAGAGATTATCACAGCCACAATGATTATTCCTAACTCCCCCAGGTGAAAAGCTATTTTCCTTCTCTGGTAAGCTACCATTGGTATAACAACAGGCCACTAAGAGCCCATGATGGATCGTTTTCAGCTGTTTTCACCTGGCAATCATTAGACAATAGAAAGGTATGACCCAGAGCATCAGACTTCTACTGACAGCAAATTTCTACAATCATTAGTCAATCCTTAAAATCATATTAAGAACAAGCTTAACTTTTTTGAAGAGTGTACTGACATTAAAAGGTAGGCAGTAGTGTAAGTGATATAAGACAGAGAAAGCCAAATATCCTATGATCTCACTTATATGTGGAATCTGAAAACAAAACAAAAAAAGGAACAGTCCCATTTTTAAATACACAGAACAAGTGGGTTGGGTTGGGGGGAGGAGGTGGGCAAAATGGGTGAAGAGGAGTGGGAGGTACAGGCTTCTAGCGATGGAATGAGTAAGTCACTGGTATAGAAGGTAGAGCATAAGAAATTTAGTCAGTGGCATTTTAATAGCATTGTATGGTGATAGTAGCTACACCTGTGAACACAGCATAAAGTACAGAGTTGCTGAATCACTGTGTTGTACATCTGAAACTAATGTAACATTACGCATCAACTATACTTAAATAAAATTTTTTTTAAGGTAGACAATAGTGACTAAGAGTAAAAAAGGGGGGGGCTATACTTACACCTTTTTCTCTAGGTTAGACCTAAAAATAATTTCAAGATGTTTTAAGAGACTTTCCATCAAGAACTATGCCCAATTTTCAACTTTATTCTAGAACCTACTCAGAATTATTAACTGGGAAAACAAAATTAATTGTGAAAAGAACTTACTAAATTTCAAGTACCCTGATATGCATTTTTGTACCTTATGTAATTCTCCCCAAAATATTGTATTATTTTTCCACTTTGTAAAAAAGGAAACAGTTTCAAAAAAATTAAGCTTTAAAGTCAGAATATAAGAGACGGTATGTAATATCTAAAGATCATTTCCCTGAGAGTAGTTTAATTGCCTGAAATAATGATCAATTTTAATTGGTAAGAACTAGCACCACTGAGCATTTAGAAGTTGTCCCTCCAGGATAAAAATCTCATCAGTGATTTGGTTGGTAAGTGGACAGCCAAGTAAGCTAAGAGAAGGATGTGTATATGCTCAACTCCAAAGGGCCCCATTCACCTTGTAGTCTATGCTGGGGGCACCCCTGGGAGTTCTGCAGTGCAGATGCCTGGTCTGTGAACAATGTCAGTTAAGCATCTCACCAGAAACCATCAAGACCTAACTTAAAAGCAACAGATTTTTTAAAAACCAGGATATGAAGAATATTCTCTTCCTTTGCAATCTATCTTTCTAAAATGAGATCCTGGCAGAAATAAGCAAAGAAAGGAAGAGTGGGAACATTTTCTGAATATTTATAAGGCAAGTACCAGACGAGGCACTTCCTATTGCATTCTCAATGCGATCCTCATAACAACACTGTATATCACGGTATTTTAGTTCCATTTTTATAGATGAGAAAATAATAAGACTAAAAGAAGTAATGCAAGGTCATACGAGTCATAATGAGGATTCAAATACAGGTTTTTCTGACATAACCTATACTCTTTCGTTTATACCACACCAAATCATAATAGACTGCAAACAGATTGTGTATCCCATTCTTCTTTCAAATGCTCACAAAAACACTGGTTTTCCAGAAGGACAAAATGAGAGTTAACACCAAAACCTTTAAGAGCTGCTGAGTTTGCCTATATTGTCACAATAAATTTTAATCAAGAAAATCTCCAGGGCACCTTGGTGGCTTAGTTGGTTAAGTGACTGCCTTTGGCTCAGGTCATGATCCTGAAGTCCCAGTATCGAATCCCGCATTGGGCTCCCTGCTCAATGGGGAGTCTGCTTCTCCCGACCCTCCCCCCTTGTGCTAAGAAAATCTTTAAAAAAAAAAAAAGTCTCCAGATCAACGTATGGACTGAATGAGTTACAACTATAGGATTACAACAAGGAAACACAAAAGGAGACAGATGAGAAGGGTTTCGGTAGTAAATATACATAAGCCTCAGATAACAAAGAACAGATCCTAATTCACAGCCAAACACAAGTCAGGAGACACAAACTTACCAGAATTACAGGATACCTGTTGTGGGGGTGGGGGTGCCTGATGTGTTAACGTCTGATGCTGATGGTTCGGATGATGCTGTATGTGTTGATGTGGAGAGGGGTGCTGGGGGTGAGGGGGCTGGAGCTGGCTGTGTTGCTGCGGGTGCGACGCTGGGTGCTGGGGACGCTGCGGATGCTGTGGTAAACCATGCGGTCGATGGGACGGATGTGGAGACGGCTGTGTGTGCATTTGGGAGTGGGGCAGTGAGACTTGTGCAACCGAATTACTGCCCGTGGTGCTGAGGCCACCGCCATGATTGTTGGACAGGCTGCTTTGGTTGCTATGTGGGTGAGAGCTCACTGTGCTGCTAGGAGAGTGCTGATACGAACACGAGGTGTGGGACTGCTGGGAAGATTCGGAAGGGATGGTCATCAAACCTAGACACAGAGAAAGCAAGAGCATTCAGAGTCAGATTTCAGTTATATTTTATGGCAGACATTTACAAAATTATTAATAGAGCAGAAGTATACATTGTCAGGAAGCAACACTGGCTCAGTTGAAAAAGTGTTGATGGAACATCCACCATACACCAGTCTCTGGGATCACTAAGAGTAAGAAACACCATCCTCTAGCCTCGAGTAGCTCATGATCTAGTACAAGGGACAGACACTTAAGGAGATTATGTCCAATAATGTAAGTACTAAGGCAGAAGTATACCAAGGGCATTCAGGAACACTGCTTCTTGCCTATTCAGCTAGGAAGGAGCTGAAGATTTGGAAAAGCCGTCCTTGAAAAGGCAGTACCTGGGGTACCTAAGTGGCTCAATCAGTTAAGCATCTGACTCTTTTTTTTATAAAGATTTTTATTTATTTATTCGAGAGAGAGAGTGAGAGATAGAGAGCACGAGAGGGAAGAGTGTCAGAGGGAGAAGCAGACTCCCTGCCGAGCAGGGAGCCCGATGTGGGACTCAATCCTGGGACTCCAGGATCATGATCTGAGCCAAAGGCAGTCGCTTAACCAACTGAGCCACCCAGGTGCCCTAAGCATCTGACTCTTGATTTCGGCTCAAGTCATGATCTCAAGGTTGTGAGACTGAGCCCCACGTCGGGCTCTGTGCTAAGCATGAAGCCTGCTTAAGATTCTCTCTCCCTTTCCATCTGTCCCTCTCCCCTCTTCTCCCTCTCAGAAAAGAAAAAGAAAAAGAAAGTCTTGAAAGACTGAGTAAATGTTAGGGGAAAAGTGTGTGAATGTTGGGTCACATTCCGGATGATTCTTTACAGGCCTGAAGACCAAGGATTTGACAGAGGTAGAGGAGAGAAATAAGGCCCAGTTATTTCTGAAGTCTTTCTCTGATGGCTCCAAAAACTTTTAAGTCAAAGGTGGCCAGAATTTTTTTTTTTTTTAAGATTTTATTTATTTATTTGAGAGAGAGAGAATGAGAGACAGAGAGCATGAGAGGGAAGAGGGTCAGAGGGAGAAGCAGATTCCCTGCTGAGCAGGGAGCCCGATGTGGGACTCGATCCCGGGACTCCAGGATCATGACCTGAGCCGAAGGCAGTCGCTTAACCAACTGAGCCACCCAGGCGCCCAAAGGTGGCCAGAATTCTTAAGACTAAGCAACACAGGGCGCCTGGGTGGTTCAGTTGGTTAAGCATCTGCCTTCGGCTCAGGACGTGATCTCAGGGTCCTAGGATCAAGCCCCACATTGGGCTCTCTGCTCAGCAAGAGTTTGCTTCTCTCTCTGTGCTCTCCCTCTTCCTCAAATAAATAAAATTTTTTTAAAAAGACTAAGCAAAACAAAACAGCCATCTTCACTGCTTTTTCATTTGGTTTATGGAATATTCCTGAGACACATACACTTTAGGGGTTAAGACTGCATAATTTATAGCACTAGAAAGTAAGGATTAAAGTCTCTGATCTCTGCAAGTCACAATTACCTCAATTATAGATGGGTATGGATATATCTATTTCACAGAATTGTTGTGAGGATTAAATGCCATGGTGCAAGTGCAGGGTGCGGATGAGCTCAGTAAATGTTAGCTGCTATGATAATAATTATGATTAGGCCAGAAGTGCCTAACGTTAAAAATAATGTACTCTTGGTTTGCATGCAGGTAGATGCTCATTTTAATAGCTCTTATTATGATATTTGGTTCGACACAACTAGGCTATTTTCATATCCCAAAGGATGGCACATACAATGTTTTACTGAACCAAAACACAATGAATTTTATTAAATGAAAAATAAAATCCTGCAGCACAGTATCAGTTAATAAAAGAATCAAACCTTTTAAATGAAAATATTCTCACTGCCCATTAATAACAAAATTGTATTAGAGTACATTGTAAGATAATCTTAGAACCTAATAAGGTAGTTTTATAGGCAGAAGAGTTAATATAAAAGTTCTTGCCTTGGCCCTGGAAAACTGTCATTTGGAGGGAATCTACAGGGTTCTTACAGTAAGATGAGAAAAAGCAGTTATTTCATTGTCTATTTCCAATAAAGTCCTAGCATTTTAAAAGGGAACCCAGATATGATCTAAACCAACCTTTCAATCCCAATTTTTTTTTTAAGTAGGCTCCATGTCCAGCATGGAGCCCAACGCAGGGCCCAAATTGACAACCCTGAGATTAAGACCTGAGCTGAAATCAAGAGTTGGACTACTCAACTGACTAAGCCACCCAGGCACCAACCCAAACTGTTTTTAAAATAAAATTTAAGGGGTGCCTTGGTGGATCAGTTGGTTGGACATCTGACTCTTGGTTTTGGCTCAGGTCATGATCTCGGGGTCATGGGACTGAGCCCTGCATCAGGCTCCACGCTTGGCAGGGAGTGTGCTAGGATTCTCTCTCTCCCTCTGCCCAACACCCCCAAATAAATATACTTTAAAATATTTAATTAGGGTGCCTGGGTGGCTCAGTCGGTTAAGCGGCTGCCTTCGGCTCAGGTCATAATCCCAGGGTCCTGGGATCGAGCCCTGCATCGGGCTCCCTGCTCGGCGGGAAGCCTGCTTCTCCCTCTCCCTCTGCCTGCCTCTCTGCCTACTTGTTCTCTCTCTGTATCTCTGTGCCAAATAAATAAATAAAATCTTTAAAAATAAATAAATAAAATATTTAATTAGTGTGATGAAATATCATTAGGAGCTTCAGAAATTGTCATTTCTATTTCAAAGCCAGTATTTTTCGATCTTGATCACATCTGGATCTCCTTAGCAAAGTCTTGTATTAGTCCTTTTTGTACTTTCATAGATAGAAAATTCAAAATAAAATGAGAAAAATACATGAATCTTACTTTAACCAGAAAAAAACTTCCTGTACAAGTAACTGATATTCATCGATATATAACACTTGTATATAACATTAACTTTTGTAGTATCTGACAATGACAAATATTAAAATGTAAGTTCTATAAACACAGGGATTTTTGTCTATTTTGTTCACTACTGTGAACAGGTACACTCTCTGAGTTGGGGTAGAAATAATCTGCCAAACAAAGCAATTAGGAAGTGCTGTAAAAGTAGAGGTTCCCAACAAATTTCTGATTAGTATTTATGGGGGAAGGACAATGCAACATCTTAATCCTATCACATGACTCTGACTAAAATAAAACCAGCAGCTAAAGGACAGTAACACATAATAGCAACAATCTAGCATTTGGTTGAGATGTAACAGGGCATCTTAACCAAAATCACTTTTAGTGTTAAAATCTGTTAAGTATGTTGTATAAAACAGTGACCCAGGGGCGCCTGGGTGGCTCAGTCGTTAAGCGTCTGCCTTTGGCTCAGGGTCCTGAGATTGAGCCCCACATCGGACTCCCTGCTCTTCGGGAAGCCTGCCTCTCCCTCTGCCACTCCCCCTGCCTGTGTTCCCTTTCTCTGTCAAATAAATAAATCAAATCTTTAAAAACAAAAACAAAAACCAGTGACCCAGAGGTTCCCACTAACCAGTATGTTCACTTATAAGCACCATACATGAAATTGCAAATGTGGTGCTACCATATTCCACTAGCTATCTCTTTGCTAATAACAGTCAGTACAGACAGGAAAGGCACATCTCTGCCTATAGTGCAACATTTACCACCCCAACACTTCACGTGCTAGACATCACTAACGACGGCAGCATTTCTCCTACATGGCACAGATGCAGTGTCAGAATTCTTCAATACATATGCCTCCAGGACACGACTAGTAAGTGAATTAGGTATGCAAGATGAAATTTATCTGCATTCTTGGGCTATTATGTAAATATATACAGGGTGTAGTAAAGGCACAAAGACTATTCAATCCTGACCACAATGATACTGTTCAACGATTCAAGAAATACAACAGCTGCTATGTGAAAATAATTCTTAAGAACATTTTTCAATAAAAATTTACTTTATAAAACGGTATTTTAAAAACTCCACTTGAAATTAATAGGATATGTATGTCAATTATACTTCAATAAACAAAAACCGCCCACCCCAAGTAAACACTCACCTTGTTGACTAAGTGACTGCTCAAAAACTGACTTATAAAGGCTCCGAAATGAGGCACTGAGATCTTCGAAATTATATTCTGAGAAAAGGAGTTGTTTGTCTCGTTCTGGAAGGTTGTACTGTGGCTGCTGTTGAGGAGTTAATGACTGAGAGACTGGTTCTGGATGGTTTGTCACCTAAAATTAAAAGAAAATACTACTAATTTAGTAGCTCTATATATCAGAATTGGTCTGTTACATAAAATATGTAACTGAAAATATTAGAACAGTTTCTAGAATCCAAAGGAAATAATGTCCCTGTCCTTGGCTTTCCCATCCTCTGTTAAGTTGGGTACACATGAAGGACAAGACCACAAAATTGTTAACTTGAATTCTGAAGAACCACAGAAATCTAATCCAATCTCCACATTTCACAGAAGAGGGGAAAGAGTTCAAAGAATTTAAATAACCTTCCCAAGATCATACAAATGAATGATGGGCTAGGCATGGAACCCTTCCAGTTTCTGGAGAATCTTCATCTTGATTTCTCCTGAAGCAATTTCATCTCAAACTCCACTCTACTATGATATTACTAACATGTCTTATTCATTTATTCAATTAATCTTTAAGTATTTAAACTCAAATACTCTGAGTACTGTGAGGTTGCATGGTGCTGCCCAAAGCAGCAAGGAGCCTCAATACACCTAATTCTTCATTTCTAGAGAAAACAAAATTTTTTTAATGAAACTAAGGGGAAATGAGAAATGAGGGTAACAGATAAAGAAGATTCTCAGAAAAAGAGTAGAGCATGGCTTTGAGCTATGCAAAGAAAATAAAAAGCACCATAAACTCCTAGAAAATAAGAATTATCACTGAAGGTAGCACAACTAGAAATAAAAAAAGATCAGCTGCATCTCTTAAAGATTTTATCAAGGGGTGGTAAACTACCATTTTTTTAGTGCTTTGAAAAATTAAAATATGAACACTCACTGTAAATTTATGCAGCCATTCAAACTGATGCTCACAAGAAGTCTGCAATAACAGAAAAATATCAATTTTTGTGTAGGGGAATGGCTCCACCACTGGCACTCTGGTGACCTTACACATCTCCACACAGGCCATTGGAGGCAAGGCTCAGTGGCAGGATGACCTAAGCCTTGGTGATTATCCTGGAACATGGAATGTGAGTAGTCTTATGAGCAGCAAATTCTCATCTGCCTTCTTATTTTGCAGGAGGCAGCCATGGGGCAGTTTCTTGTTCACCTATCTTGCAGGAAGCTGCCAAGAGACCTTTCTCAACTCCCTCCCTATTTCCAGAGAGGCAGGGGACTTTCTACTTTACTCTCTTAGGGTAGAGCTGCGAGTCATACAACTGCTTAGCTGTAATATGGAATTTGTTCCTCCACTACAGTGACTCACTACTTGTGAAGTCTGTCATCTGGCTCCTCCAGTTCGGTGTCATCCTGGGGGATGTGGGGAACCATACCCATCTGGCTTATACATAAGTAATAACAATGTCTCTGTGCATTTGGGCTCACTGTGTCCTTATAGGATCAATCTATATACAAGTGGCAAGCCCGACCAGCAGCTGGTGCTGTCCTGTTGCTTACAGAATGTTTGATGACACTTGATGTCTTGTTAAAGGAAAAAGCACAGTATATGATGTCTAGCTTTTCAAAGTAAAGTTTAACCCTCCTGCATGTACTAGCATAATAGACACGTTTGTTCTTTCTTCTGTCACCTAGTTCTACAAATTTAATTTTTTCCTTTCATTATATTTTGTGATACTGGACTCCTGGTGTCAAGATTTTCTACATTCACATTATTTTAAAAACAACTTAAAATAATTAAATCTTTGCTTAGTTTGCTTCAGTGCTCCAACTAGTCCTTTTATATTATGATTTCATAATTACTGAGTGCTTTAATTTAGTTCACCTCTTGATTGTCAAAGTAATGTTTTTCAGAAGGGCACATGAAAACAAAGATAGGAAAGTTTTTTAAGCCTGTGTATCAAAGAATGTCTTTCTCTTGACTTCACATATGAATGCAAATTTGGCTGGACATACTATTTATAAATCCAAACCTATTCCCTCAAAACTCTACGTGCAGTATTATTCCATTATCCTCTTGTATTTAACATTATAGAAGAGAATTATGATTTGTGTTTCTCTGAATGCATCTGATTTCTTCTTCTACCAGAGTACTTACATGGATGATAGCTTCTTCTTCAGGGACACCTGTAATTCTCAATTCTCCAGATCTATTATCTTCTCTGACATAATTGTTATTCCATTAACTGTTACTTCTGCATTCTGAAAGAATATTTTAGGATTTTTCCCCCAGAGCACTGATAAGTTTTACAGAGCCACCTTTTGTTTTCCTACATTCAATGTGAATTTTAATTCTGTTCTCTCAGTTTTGGTTTCCCTTGTGTTATTTTCTTATTTAAGGTTCCCCTCTGCTATATATCTTTGTCCTGTGTAAGGTTTTACCTATTTACTCATCCTGGAACAGGGAGTGATCTGGTGAGATCAAGTTTAAACCAATGTACAGTGCAGTGTATGGCTCCTGGGCTCTGTTCTATCTTCTAGGGAGGACAGTTGCCAGATGATTTGAAAAGAGGTATCAGATAACACAAGGGTCATGTTCTTATAATAGGTAACAAAATCAGCACACACAGGTTCCTTTATAGTACAGCTTTGTTTTCCAGACCAAAATTAAAAACATAAGACTGGTTAACAATTGGGTACCAAGTCATCCCAACCTTTGAGGCTTGTAGAATTCCCTTCTCACATCTATAGCTGGAAAACAAGGCAGTATACACATTCTCTAAACTCTTTTACAAAGGACTGTAAAGTATCATCAAATATAGCTTTGCTAGACTAAAGTACAACTTTTTTTCCTATTCCAATTACTTTTCACTTGGACAGAAAACAGATAAAGTAAACCAAAATAATAAAACACAGTATAACCACATATGTGTTTCGAACCTGGTAAAATATAAGTACCCATTAAAACACTATCAAGGTAGGAATCTGCTCTACGTATCTAAGCTAAATGAATTAATTAGTGAAAAATACACATCTTCACTTTTTATTCTCACTTCAATCACATTTGGCTTAGTTTTAAGCACTCAAGGAGTCTCAACAAAGAAGTTAACTTCACCAAGACTTACCGCTGTATAACTATGCACACTTCCAACACTGTTCAAATTAACAGATGCCAAACTCTGGTCTGAGAGACTGTTGTTAAGGCTACTGCGTGGGCTATCACTACCATCCTGATCGGTGTTGTACAACGTTACCTAGAAAAGAAAAACATTAGCATAAGTAGTTTTCACGGTAAAGAACAGTGAAAAGCAACTCTAAGCAACTCTACAAAAAAACAATTAGGTTGGTATATGGCTCAAAGACAAAATGTTAGTGGTCTTTCCTACCCCAACTCCATGCCCTTCACTACTAACTCTATGTTTACCATGAAATAAATTACTCTCAAACTGAAAAACACCCTATCCAAAAGTACATAAATTCAATATACTATCAGGTATAATTAGTTCATCAACATATAATAAGGGGATTACGGGTTTTCACTGTTATGTATTTCTACAACGTATAAACTTCTTTTTACTCAAGCTTTAAGCAACACTATTATTCTTTTCCATCAAAATACTAGGCATTGAAAAGAACACAAAAAAGGAATTTTTAAAAATCACACGCATCATACTGGTTATATTACTGAAAACTGGACACTCAACTGTCCAATGTACTTGCAAAATCATAGGTATGTGATCTAATTTTTAAAAACAGCAACAATTACTGGGCACCTAGGTGGCTCAGTTAAACATCCGACCCTTGGTTTCAGCTCAGGTCATCATTTCAGGGTTGTGGGATCAAGCCCCACATCAGGCTCCATGCTCAGCGCAGAGTCTGCTTGAGATTCTCTCTCCCCCGCCCCTCCCCACTCACATTCTCTCTAAAATAAATAAATAAATCTTAAAAAAATAACAAGATGCTAACATACACATAAGATGCTAAGGACTATAAATCAAACTGTTAACAAGGGACTAGGTATTCCTGAAGACTTTTATCACTGATATTAGCATTATAACTTTTAATTAGAAATAAAAAAATATTTTTAAAACAGATAACTAGCCTAATTATCCCTCAAGGTTCTATTCATATGGTACAACCAACTTTCCTTTCTATGCTCCTACTTCCATGGACACAATACATTTAGCTTTAGGTAAAAATTTTTATCCACTACTAGATTATAGCTCCTTGAGTCCCCAATAAGGAATCATAACCAACATAATGCTTTCTACTCAGTATACAATTATGATATATTTGCTGACTAAATAACCAATTGAGCTATGACCATCCTTCTGTCTGTGCTAAGAATGGGATCACACTAAATGCTACAAATACCTGCCAAAAGAGGCCAAATATGTAGAAAACTAGGCATGTATCTCTCTATATTGAGGGCAAAACCAAACTGTCCCCCATTCACACTCTCTCCTGTCCATGCTCAGTTACCTACCACTCAAGTCAAAAATCTTAGACAAAATCTTAATAGCTTATTTTTTAGCTGGAAAGAGGATAAACATTTTTATTAAAATGTAAGATATACACAAAGTACACAGATTACTAATTTATTACAAAATGGGCATACTTATGTAATCAGCACATAGAACAAGTATAGAACAGTTCTCAAACTTTGATCCTAGAACACTTTTGCAGTCTTAAAAAATTGAAGAGTCAAGGAGCTTGTTTGTGCTGATACATCTATTAATAATTGGCATATTATGTCCCCCCAAAAATAATTGGCATATTATATATTAAAACATATTAATTTAAAAATAACAATTATAAACCCAACTAAATGTTAACATAAGAAATATTTTCTCCCAATAAACAGAATTAGAAAGAGTTCCCCTGTTTTACATTTTTGTAAATCTCAATGCCTGGCTTAACAGGAAACAGCTGGACTCTCTTATCCACATCTGTATTCCATCTGCTGCAGTAAGTTTTTTAGGTGGAACAATACAAAGATAGCCCAGCAACACATATAATAGGAAGAATATTTTAACAGACTTTCATATTATAGTGGATGGTCTTTTTTGATACTACACCAAAACATGACAAGATAATTTTTTAAAGATTAGTTGCAATGTGGATCTGAAAACATACCAATAAATTTTTCATACTGTTACATTAAAATCCTCTGTTCTACCTTGTACTTTGAATGGATCATTCATCCAAGCATGATTTTATAACATTATGCATTAGCCATTTGGAAAATACTGGTTCACTAAGTTATACAATGACACATTTCATTATACAACATTAAAACTCATATGTGCTAACATAACCAATGATTTTTTTAAAGAAGTCTTTAAAGTCTGCTATCAGACTCACTGTGGTGGATAAAAGTTTTCCAAACTTCCGTTTTTTGCTTTAAAAACTCAAATTTTATCATTGGCAAAGGATACTGTCAATTGTTTTCCTTGAGGTGACAAACTCACTTTGTTATCAAGAAAACATCTGCCAAATCTGAATAATCAGTGTCAATTGTTCTTTCAGGTAAAAACAAAGATCCACGAACAAAGCAGCAGCTCCACATCCAACTCAAACCACACAAGGAAGGTTGCTCTTCCTTGAAGCAACCAATGTACTTCAGCATGTAGTCTAAGTGTTTTATGCATACTTCCCATTTCATCACAGAGAAGAGCAAAAAAAGACATGTACTCAAAGGTCACAACTTAATAAAACTATTTTTCCTGCTTCACCAAGGATATCATTAAGTTAAACTAGTATTCTTTTTTTTCAACCTCAGGGCTGTGGGCAGTGAAGAATACAATGACTGCTAGTACACTTCAGTATTACTGCCTTGATTTGTGCTAACATTTACATACTACTGCTTTTGCCACATCAATGAAAATACAAAAATAAAGGAAAAGGCAAATAATATTTTAGTATCATAAAAAGTCTGACCTCATGGAATCCCTAAAAAGGGTCTTCATTACCTAGGTGTTCAGAGACCACAGAACCTCTGAGATAGAACCTAACACGGACTCCTGAAGGCCCGTTCATTGGCTCTCCCAATCATTCACCAGCCAGTCATTATCCATCCCCATCACTGACAAAGACACCCACTATACCAACTTCTGCCACTAGTAGTTGGTTTATCTGCTTTTTTTTTTTTTTAACAAAGTATAAATGGAATCATGGAATGTATATCCTTTTCTGTCCTTTTACAGTAAAGTCAGCTAAAGGATTACACAAATCTTTGTTTTCTATTACACTAATATCTGCTCTTACATCTTTATTACTTCGTTATGTTCCTTAAAATTCATTTTTTTTCACCCAATTGAGAGCTTTATAGTTTTATCATTTATAGCTCAGATCCATCTGGAATTTATTTTTGTGAATGGAAAATCTGATTTTCCCATTGATCCAGCACTATTTGTTGAAAGACATCACTGAGTTGTGTTCCGTAAGTCTATTTGTCTTCCACCAATACCACTCTTTAAATTATTATAGGTTTACTCTTGATATCTGCAAGTATAAATCCTCTACCGTACCTTTTCTTTCAACATTATCTTCAACTACCATTTGCCATTTGGATTCCCATTTATATTTTAAGATCAGCTGGTCATTTTCTACTCCCATCCCTTCCCCCAAAAAGCACTGTGGACCTCTGATTGGGATATTAAATCTGTAGATCAATTTAGGAAAAAACTGACTTCTTTACAATAATATTCCCTATGAAAATTATATATTTATTTATATCATCATTTTCTCTCAGTAATTTTTTATAGTTTTCTGTGTAGAGTTCATCTTCCACTTAATCCTAGGTATTTAATGTTTCTGAATGCTAACATAAGTTTTATTATCTCTTTAATCTTATTTTCTAATTGTCTGACTTATACACAGAAATGCAATTGATTTCTAAAGTCAAACACTGATCTTGTATCAAGAACATTAAAGTTCATTTATTAATTCTAAGAGTTTATCTGTAGATTCTTTTGAATTTTCCATATAAACAATCATCTGTGAATGATAGCTTTGTTTCTTTCTCAAAGTTTATGTTTAACATTTGTTTTGTAACACTTCCATTTTTCCTCTACCTGCCTGAATACTACCGTTGTCCTATATTTTACTTCTACATATTATACACCCACAATATATTTTTGTTATTTTTGCTTTAAACAGTTTATTGTCTTTTAATGAGATTTAAATTTTAAAAAAATGTTTTACTGAACCTACATAGGTACCATTTCTGGTCCTTAATTCCTTTCTGTAGATCCAGATTTCTAGTTGTTACCACAGCACACTAATATTCTATATACTTTTTTAGTCTTTTCATGTGTTTCATTTTGTCTAACTTTTACTGCTACATCTTCAATAATCTTTCCTTCTACAATGTCTAATCTATTGTTAATTCCATCCAGCATATTTTTCAAATCAGACATAATTTTTATCTCCAAGAAGTTTGATTTGGATTTAAAAAAAATATATCTTCCATGTGTCTACATACAGGTTCAACCTATCTTTTTACTTCTCCATGGAATACAGGTACAAAAACCGGGCTTTTTCCAACTTTACTGAGATATAATTAACATGTAAGTTTAAGGTGTACAATATGTTCATTTGATACACTTATATTCTGCAAAATAAATACCACCAGAGCATTCACACCTCCATCACCTCACATAATTACAATTTCCTTTTTATGATGAGAACATTTAAGATCTACTCACCTAGCAACTTTCATGTATACATGAATACAATATTGCTAACAATATCACCATGCTATATAAAAGATTCCCCAAATTTAGTCATCTTGTAACTGAAAAGTTTATACCTTTTGACTAACATCTCTCCATTTTTCCTGCCCCATAGCCCCCTGGTAACCACCATTCTACTTTCTATGAATTAGGCCTTTTAAGATTCCACATATTGGGGCGCCTGGGTGGCTCAGTCATTAAGCATCTGCCTTCGGCTCAGGTCATGATCCCGGGGTCCTGGGATTGAGCCCCGCATCGGGCTCCCTACTCCGCGGGAAGCCTGCTTCTCCCTCTCCCACTCCCCCTGTGTTCCTGCTCTCGTTATCTCTCTCTGTCAAATAAATAAATAAAATCTTAAACAAAAAAAAGATTCCACATATTAAGTGATATCATACAATATTTGTCTTTCTCTGACATTTCACTTGGCATAATACCCTCAAGATCCATTCATGTTGTCTCAAATGGCAGGATTTTCTTCTCATGGCTAAATAATATTCCATTCTGTATGTGTGGGTATG